ACATACATACATACATTACATACATAGCATACATACATACATACATACATACATACATACATACACACATATGTTAATAATAAGAATAGTATGGGTGACAGTAGCAGTAATAGTAACTTCGCGGCGAGGTCACGAGCGACTCTTGTGGAACCCCGTTTTGCAAATCCAGGCACGCGCACCTCGACGTGCCAGTGCGTCAAGGAGTCCACACCACTGAATGGGAGCCAGCGCGCGACGTCCCAAACAAGCCTGGCGAGTCGCAGGGCTCATATGGTCAAGCTGGGCATTCCCTGATTCAATCGCTACGCAACGAACTCTTCGGCAAGAGCAGGGCCTCTATCAGTTCAAGTCCCTCTGAGCGCGACAACCGCTGGGTGCCTGCAGCTGCAGTTCTGCAGAACACAATGAAGAACCACCCCCCCCATTAAAAACACGCTATCACCTGTTTGCTGTATGTCGCCTGATCTACTTAGGCGGGAGCAGTCCATCGAAACAGATCACCCCTTTCTGTGTTTCTCGAAGCCTTGCTATAGCCGAGCTGCCGAGGCATCTCTGCCGAAGCAGTCGCGCTGCGTCGGTCGCAGCCATGATGGTTGTTTCCAGTGCAAGCGTGCGTGATGTCCATGTAAAACTTAGAGTCTCAGACTCAGAGTCCATGTCCATGTCCGGGTTGATCCAATGAGTCTTGCAGGAGTCATGCAGCTGGTGAGTGGATGATCCGTGGATGCGACTGCCGTAAGTCCACACGTTGCTTTCACTACATGCTTGAGGGTGACCCAGGGTGACTCCCGCAAGGAATCTTCGCTAAATGAGATCATCGTCGATACCTGCAGGACTCAGCCTCGCCACTTTCAAGCAAACCAACGACTCAGCCGGAGGACCTATGCGGTCCGGCCGCAGCACGCGGAGAAGGAACAAGCGATGGAACCTCAGATCATGCGGCGCCATCCACGGAAAGCCTCCCCTGGCAGGAATGATCTGAAAGCCCAAGGACCAGACGAGGAAAGGTCGCGGCAGGCTCGCGGCAAGTCTGCAGCCTGAGTGGAGAATTTTATGACCCGCCTCATGTGTACAAGACGCCAGACAATCATCCGCCTCAGCTTTCTCCTCCGCGAACCAGCGCTTCCAGCCGAGGGAGTCCTTCAAGGGATATATCTCCGGGCCCAAGGCTCTGAGAAGGGCGGAGCAGACGCTCAGCACTCCCCAGAGCAGAGAGGAAAATATATCTGTCCTGCTCCAGCGTGCTCGTAAGGGCATTGGAACCTGGTTGCCAAGACCATGGGCTGCAGTGCCCTTGCACTCCAACTGCCACATGCGCCTGTCTTGAAAACGCTGATCTGCTCCAAAGTCTTCAATTGGGCCCACCTCAGAAAAAAGGAAGCTTAGCAACGCGCGAACGGATGGGGCATTAGCTGTTCTCCACTACAAGACACAACCATTTTTTGCAGTGCAGGTGCAGTAGCCAGTCGCTTCAGAGCTGAGTTCACTGCTGATGCTCTGTGAGCCAGCTTCTTGTTGTGTCCGGCATGGGCGACGCCAGAGGGTCGACAGGAGCTCGTATGAGAACTGGCAACAGCTCGGTGCTTCCGTAAACCGGTACTGGTGTGTCTGGCAGCACTTCCCCACCAACCGGGACATTCTCATATTACCTAGCGCAAGTCTCGTTCATTTTAAGTCCCCGGGACCACACGGGACTAGTTCAACATGCTGCCTATGCGCCCACCCATCTCATCCACGTGCACTAGTACAAAGTCAAACGTCTCTGTGACTACAGACCGAGGCTCACCGTCTCAAGCGTGGTGCGGCGTACTGTTCAGCTCTTCCGGATGTACTTCTCCAGACCGCACCAAGATCTTCAACGCCAGCATCGAGGCCACCTGCGAAGTCCCGGCGGAAAACCTTTTCCCCAAAGAGTCAGTGGGTGCTTGGTGCTCAGATGTGCTCAGGTTGAAACGGTGAGCTTGTCCGCATCCAGCAGTCCACGCCCTGGTGCTCAATCAACTACAACGTGCTCCTTTTGTCGCTCGGGCAAGGCCCAAGCGCAAGTAGGCGAAGACCGCGAATGTCACGACACCCTTCAAGGCGCTCAAGTCACTACTCGAACTTCACGCGATCACCACGGCAGAAGGCGCCTCCAACTGCTTGACTCGATTCGTGAGCTCCTGCCCTGTGAGCTCCACAATCTCCTCTCAAGCTATTGGGGCTAAGCTGCACAGCCCAAAGGAACGCAGCGAGAGATCTCAAAGAAACCAGTTGGGTCTCTCCTCTTCCTCCTCCTCTTCTTCTTCCTTTGCGACAGCGTCTGCACCTGCATCGTCCTGGCTGGCCTGCAACTGCAACTTGCCGACTCAATTAGGGACAGCCTGTCAGAGTCTGCACGCGCCACGCCTGCTCAGGTAACCCGGTGTCCTCCTTTAAGTCTCCTCTGCAAAAATCAACTGCAAAGAGCATCGCAAGACCCACTCTAGTCTGCACAGGCCCTGCATGCAGGGTCTCTCCTTCGACGTCCATTTGCTCTACGGTCGCTATCCGCTTCTCCTTCAACATCACAGGCTCGAAAATTCGAGGGGGGGTGTGCAACTTCTGCGTTCAAGCAAGAATGGCCGAATAGGCGACTCACACAATACCATAGTACCAACAACTCCTGTAAGAGAACTTGAGGCACTGATTTTCATGTCACCAGTGGCGGTCGACCCCGAGAGTGGTTTGCTACAAGTAGCAGCTACTGACGCCAGCCGCAAGCTGCATTTTGTACATGGGGGGTCGTCTTCTCCACTCATACAGCGCCACTCGGTTGTGGCCAAGTGAAAATGGAAACGGACTCCCTGACCTAAGCCCCATATCGCATGGACAGACGTATACCAACCGATCTTTGGCTGAGGAGCTGGCCCAACTCAAGGAACTACTTGCCTGTCCGCAACTTTTCGACAGCTCTACACACTGCAGAATTTGTGCCCACCTGCGCTCCTTCGGACAAGATCGGCCTTGTGGTTGTCTGGTTGTGTCTGTGTGTGTGTGTGTCCTCATAGAAACATTCATCAACCCTTATGTGCCTGTGACGCCTTGTCCTTGATACGCATGCTTTTAGAGTTGCTTTGTTTTTGGTTTTTGTATGTGCCTGGGCTTGGAGACAAAGGAGGATCGTAACTCAGGCGGGGACTGGCGAGCCAGGCCAGTCTGCCTCTCCACGACGGCCCAAGCCTTCTGTGTCTGCACTGGCATAGTAAGGCTAAGTATGGAGATTGCAATGCACTGCTCTTTCGACAACTGCAAAGCTGGCTGACAGCTGAAGATCTGGTAGGAGAACACACCCATGGCCCAGGACGACTTGCTCTACGCATGCCTAGGAGCCAGACCTCCTCTGGCGGTCGCTGATTAATATGCCCCGGCCTCGGCACAAACAAAACGGCTGAGATAAGGGGCAGTTGATGAGAGCGTGTGAGAGAGAGAGATAGATCGGCCCCCTACCCGGGCACCCAGGGAGGAGCCCAGGACAGCACCAAGGCACGCTTCGTGTGAAGACCTCAACTTTGGAGCAGCGACAACGAGCAGAGCGAAGTCTCCCGTGAGCAAGCGGCCGAGATTTGAAAGAGCCTGCTGCTCCAGAGAAGGAAGGATGTGCTCCATGACCTGCTGCACAGCGATGTGCCCTGTTAGGAGTACGTCTGCCAAGTAGCCTCAAGGCACAGGACGACGTCACACCCAGCATCCACGAGCTCCAAGTGTTGGACATCCAAGCCTCATCGCTGCGGTTGCGATCTTCACCACCCGCTACCAACGACACATTACACTGGTCTTGAGGTCGTCGCGAGCATGCCGAACCGCACCTTTTGTGATTTCCTGCAGACAGCTTACGTCTGGCTTCCATGCACAGCATGCAGATCAGGGCAAATCCTCCACACCGGGTATCGCATCGAAGGCATAAGCGCTCACCAGGCCTGTATCCTGCATTCAGCTCTCGGATGCTCTCGGTGCTTGGCTGCAGCAACACCAGTCCAAGGGTCCGGCATTCAGCCACTCGGAGTAGTGACCACCAAATGCACCCAAGTCACAGACATTGTCACCCTGTCCAGGTAGACGGGGAACAGTTGAGATCTCTGTCTTCATGATCTACGATGTGATGCAAGCAGATTCCTTGCAAAGGGACATGTATACAATCATATGAACCATATGCGTACCTACCGACCTACCCACCTACCCACCTATCTACCTACCTACCTACCTGCCTGCCTCCCTGCCTACCTACCTACCTACCTACCTACCTACCTACCTAACTACCTACACACCACTTTGTGCGGAACAAGCTGGGTCACACCGCTTAGCGGGCACTGCGCAGTTGGCATGCATTTGCAACACATTTCTCGTAAAGCCTTGCGCAGCACCATCGAGAGCAAGAAGCGCAGGAGGCCCTTGTCCAAGTGCCAGAGGCTTCCCCCGGAGTGCAAGGCCTCCGAGAGCGTGTTGCTTGAGTCACCGACCCCTGCCAAATTATCCTGGATGCTGGGTGTCTCACGCTTCGGAGCTCCAAGGTCCAATCTGTCTGCACATCCCCCTCCATGTCGACTTCCGATGGCTCCTGCAAAGGCTCGGCCCGAACCGTGCCGTTGCAACTCCTAGATGCTTATAAACAGACTAGATATTGGGCCCGATCTGGCTCCTGCCACAGCAGCGGCAAGGCATCTGTGAAATTTTCCTGGCTAGCACGTCGCATCTCATCTCCGCTACTATTACAGACTTTTCCATTTCTCCGGTCGGCCACCTGGCTGTCGCCCAATGTCTGCTCATGCCTTGGTTTGGGAAGCTGTGCCGCGCGTGTATATTCTTCTAGTGTGCTCTCTGTTTCTTTGCACGTCGAACGTCTTCTGAGGTGAAGAATGGTCGGACTTCGTGGTTGGGCGCTACACCATCGGATTACAGTTCAGGTCTTACGGAGGGTTTGAAGCTTCCCACCCTTCTGCCTGTGCCAGCTATGCTCTCACTTAATGGTTTCTATGCTCTTCCGCCCGGCATTGACATCTCAAACTTCTCCTTCTGTGCTTTGGGATTCGCGGCCCCCAATACTTCCTTTTAATTTTTGTTGGTAAGTTTTCCCAGCAATGCCGTCAGCCCCTGTACTGTTTATGATAACGAACCAACAACATCTCCTCCTCTTAAAGGCTTTGTTCTTCAGGCTTCTCCTTCTGGGATTCTAGGCTTTACAGTTTACAGTCAGCATCTCCTGTCAGCGCTTAAGAGATGACATCAGGTTCAGGGTTTCAGGGAGCAAGAAAGCCCAACAACAACTCGTGTTACTTGGCAACAACGACGAAAGAAACCACCCCAACAACAATGGACGGGAAACTCTAGACTCGGTAGTATTATTAGGGGTACCCCTTAAAGGGTACCCCTTCTGGGCTCTCTTAAAAGGGACCTTATTGAGAGGGTCTATATCCCCAAGGGTCCCCCTAATGCTAGCTCCCATATGGGGGTTTCCGAACATAGGGGACCCTAATATAGCACCCTAAATAGTAGGATCCCTACTATAAGGCCCCCAAAATAAGGTACCCCTTATTTTCGGAGACTCCCATATACACCCCCGGCTAGGGAAGTGAAGCGAAAGGCGCTGAAGCGGCCCAGCCTGGGCTCCTGGCAGGCCCAGCCTTTGGAGGAAGTAGCCATCGAGCTTGGCCAGGTGAAAAAGAGTCCAACCAGCCTCTGGGTCTAGGGTTTAGGGTCTAGGGTTCGGGTTTAGGGTTTAGGGTTTAGGGTTTAGGGTATATATTTTAGGGTATAGGGTTTAGGGCATAGTGGCTTTTGCCCAGTTGTGCCCTTCGGCACCTGCGCGGCTATGTGCAGAGCCGTGTCTGCATGCCATTGAAGCCCGTAGCCTTGGCGCTGGAAAGAAGCAACTAAGTGCCTGCTGAACTGGCTTCAACTGCGACGTGCCAGCTCACTGGCATTGGTGACTTGAACTGGGTAACTGATCGATGCCACTGTGACCTCAAACTAAAGCTCCTCGTACGAGTATTGCTTCAGTTCGATAGGGCCGAGGAAGATTCGAGCAAAGGCCTACTATCGGTTGTAGAGCAGTGGCGCTGATGGAAGTTGAATAAACTAGAGCAAACAAGACGAAATTCGTTTGTCTATCATCAGCAGCAGCAGCAACAGCAGCAGCAGCCGTATTAGAAGACCTGTGCGGAGAAAGAGAAGCACGACGAAAGCCGATGCAACAGCAATAAGAAATGTCAACAGCAATGGTCATAGCAAAACCGCGGAAGCAGTAGCCCCGGCGATCCGTGCAACACACACAAACACATACGGCAAGACGATCAATTCACGATTTCATGATCAACAATGCCGTAGCATCTGCAGCACCACTGCGAAAGCAGTTTATCCTTGCTTGCTCGCTCGCTCCCTCCTTCCCTCCCAAACTTCTCGGACCTCGTCTGAGGTGCCAGCGAGCATGTGCCAAGCGGCGGAATGCGGCAAGCTGCCAGCGCATGTCGTTGACCTCAACCAGAGAACCAAACAGCTCCAACGAACGAAGCGATATGGCCAGGCGCCATTCGCGACTATGTCTACCCGCTGAAACTCACAGAAGGTGCCAAGCTTGAGCAGCCGAGCCTGTTTTAACATGCCCAAGGGGCATGGGCAGTCATAGGTAAGACTCTAATTAGGCGGGCACGCACTTCAGAATTCAGGAAGCTGCCCGGTGAAGCGCGGCCGGGCAGAAGCACAGGCATCCACCCGACGGTGCACGAAACCTTCCTCAGGCTTGTGCCCCTGGACCAAGCTCCGTCCCAGGCTTATGAATTTAACTCTGAAGTTCCGCATTTGCAAGCAAAAAGCAGTTTACAAAGTGACCGCAACAAGGCTTGTGCGCTGTACAATTTAAGCGTATTGCATGCCGCGATTGCAGCATGTGTCTCTTGACACATAGCAATTCCGTTTCTGGAACAGGTCTTATCATATCCTCTCAGACGAGACTAAAATGACTTGCATAATGGACTTCAAACTTGTCTTCTTTACAAGCTTCATGGCGCTGTGGTCGCTCTAAGTCCCTGCTGTTTCCTCATGCAAGCTCCAAACAGCACGTGCCAGCCGAGTCTGCTGCAGCTTCAATTCATAAATCTCCTGCCGCAGTTGCTCGGCCTCCTCGCCCTGTTTGCAAGCTAGCTGGTTGCGTCTGTCCTCAATTGCGCACTGTACTAGGGCCAGGCTCATCTCTGTAGCTTCCATTGCCAGTCGCTGGCTGTGGTCGTGCTCTTCACGGTCACCATCGCCATCGCCCGGCTCGCCCGGATCACGGTCTGGCAAGTACATGGTCGTTGCTGGAGCGACCTCTTCATCTGGGTAGCCGAACCACTCCTGAAATGCATCCTTGGACTTCGGTCGAATAAGCTGTGCAGTGCAGCCCTCGGCCTCAGCATAGCCGTACCACTCTGCATACCCGTCTACCTGAGGCTCCGGGTGCGGCCGAAGGCATTGTAGTGCACGGCTCGGCATGGCTAGCACGGCCGGCTAGCACCTGTAATCCTTCTAATCCTGTCTTGTCTCAGCTCGGGCCAAGAAGGAGCTTCCACAAGAGGAGCCATGAGTCGGATTCAGCTTTGGTTCTGGTCTTTCCCCGCAACTCGCTGTGCTCCCCGGCTTCTGAAGTCAGCTTCTGGTGGTCTCCCAGCCTGAGCCGTCGTGTGCATTTCTGGCACATGGGCTGCACACAACACCGAAAGACCGGGCCCTTCGCACTGTTAGCATCGTCTCTTGAAGCTTTCGACCCAGAGGGGTCATCTGGCAAAGACGAGAAGACTGCGGGCCACTCCATGCCGCCCAAGATCGGGCTCGAGGTTTTTGGGGTCTGGGCTAGGCACGCCGCCAAGCCGGGATTGAAGTCAGTTCGTTCAAGCAGGCCGAGGAGAAGCCTTGGCTCGCCGCGGCTGCTGCGAAGCAACGCTCTGACGGCAACAGCGACATCTGAGGGACGGGCCCAAGCACCGCCTCCAGGGCAGCCACGGAGGCAAAGGCTTTGCCTGGAGAACTGGCGCATTGGTTCTCCAGAGCTCGCAGACGCCAAAAGTGAGAAGCCCACCGGACAGAGGCGGCATCATAGACCACTCGGAAGTCCCAGTGGCCATGGAGACTGCTTCGAGTACTTCCACCTTGACCAGAAGAACGGCACACAAAGCTGCAGAGCTCTGCTTTCCCGCCTGCTTGTGGATGAAGGCCATGGCCTTTTCAGGTTTTGTGTCCATCGCAAACACATCGAAAAATCTGAACGATCTCCAAGTCTCCAAAGTGCATTTCAAACTTATATACTTCGTGCAGTCCACCCACACATATCAGAACTCAGGATTCTAAGTTAAAGACCAACTGCAGACTGCAGCTGCACTACTGCTCGTACAGTCTACTTGGTTTTCGGCCTACAGCATGCAGCTGCCGGTCTTCTGTATCATGGCTCACCTTTCTCAATACCGGAATCTCTGGAAAATCCGGGAGGCGACCCATCCCTTCGCTAGGAGGGGACCTACAACCACGGCCACCCTTTGCACCATCCTTTACTCTGAGGACGCCACGTGGTTCACCTCTTGGAAGATGAGCGGCCTCGCCACCAAGAAACTCGAACCCAAAGCCAAACCCATCCTGATTCATCCAGGTACCCTGGATCTACCTGAACGCTGTTCCACGAGCAGCATGAGCGCCAACAAACACGGGGTTTGTTGCCTGCTTGCTGCCGTTGTTGGTCTGTACTGGGCTTCAGGCAAAAGACGGTCGATGCCTGATCGGAGACACTAACTGCCGTGATTGAAACCCCTTGAAATTCAACAGAATCAAAGAAGTGTTTCCCAAAGCGTAACCAGGAAATATCAAAAAATGCCAGCCTTGCAGGCTCTTGCATGTTCGCACGAGCTGAGCTGAGTCCATGGCACAGATAGGGATCTGGCAAGGAGCAAAGCCTGCAGAACGGAACAAGAAAAAGACACCCGGACACAATGACAGGTGAGAGAGACACGGTCTGGGCCCACAGCGGCCGCACAGAATCCGGACGGATCGTGCACGAGCTACCTAGGAGCAAACGCAACCGAGTTCACAGTATCATGGCCCCCAAGAAGAGACGATCCAGTAATCTAAGCCTAGTCTACACTGCTCTTGCAAGCCTGATGCTGCACGTCGTGGCGGCGACTCCCAGCTGGCATCCTCGGGTCAGCAAACTCCCGAAGAGCCTAGTAGCCCAGAACACATTTAGCATATTTTGCAATGAAGAGGTGCGAGGAGTTATGCAGCGGGTCTTTGCGAGCAAATGCCGTCTCACTGGCTCACATGAGTTACATGCTTGTTGGGGTAGAAAGCCTCATCGCGTGACAAAATAGCCGTCTGGCAGCATGCAGCAGCCCGCATCAGACAAAATGGAGTGGCCGCACTAATGACGACTGGGGGATCGTCAGCTTCTCGCTCCCCAAGGTGATCCTGTTCTCACGATCTGGCTGCGGAGTTGGTGAAGGCAAGACTTGATACCAGTTGGCGTCCTCCAGTACGGATTCCAGCTGCTCCTGGGAGAAAAGCCTTTGTTTGTATCGAAGGTTCATCACCGTCGCTGGTAAGAATGCAAGCTGCGACGAAAGAGGCTCTAAGGATGCATCCCGGGGACGGTTCATAGCGTCTGCCGGCAGCCAGAAAAAGGTCTTCTACAGACACCTTGAGAAGATGTCTTGCCAGAAAACTACATCGAATGCGATGACAATCAAACAGAAACACCAAGCCTTCAAAGAGTTCTCGATCCGTGCCTGCCATCCGAGTTACGGCGACTCTACCATATCATTTGCCCACATATCGGCGAAGACCAAGGCCTCCAAGACATGGTCCGGGACCTTCCCGAGCCGTGGAACTGCGCTGTACCACTGACTTATGGGAGATCACGCGGACCGAGCCTCCGTGATGCTTGCTAGCACCTTCCAAGATGGTGCAGGGGGCCGTGCTGTGCTGCAGTGCTGAGCTTGAAGAAACTACAGGTACAAGCCAGGTAATTAAAACTACCGGTTGTGATGAACGTCGAGTCCGGGGCCGACGAGGAGGACCACCCCTACGAGCAAACCAAGATGATGACGACGACGAAGGCGACGATTCGCTTGAGAGCCATGGGCAGGGACGTACGCATTTATGTGCGTATTCAGGGACTTCATGGACTCGCTTTTGTCTGTGATTTCGACATCCCCTTGCTTTCCCCCACCTCGCTATCTGAACCCAAGCCTAGCCCAGTCTACCTCTGCTCCATGGTAGAATGTGCGAGCGCGAGAGGTCGCCAGGTGTCCAACTCTGCCTCCCGTCTACGTTTGATCCGGCTGTGCACTCTGCAGGTGGCATTCGAGTTTGGCGTCTTGACCACCTGGTCTAAGGCACTGTCCCAGGCGCATTATGGCCGCTCTGAAGGGGGCTGTCTGGTCCTTCGGGCCCTCGGGGCCAACATCGGCTGCGCACGACCCGACGCGCGCCCGAACGCAACGCGTCCCTTCAAATTGCAGCAATTATTGCAGGCCTACTCAGCCGATGCGTGTGCCGAAGGAGCAGCCGGACGTCAACTCGCATGTCACGTTCACACCGAACAGAGCTCGTCTAGCTGTGATGAAACGGCCTAACTGCAGCAAATGTCTGAACGAATATCCGAAGCTTAGCAGCCAGTTGAGATACCGCCTTGCCTTGCCCACGAGTGTGAGCCAAGCAAGCGATCGGGACATGGGTGGGCCGACTAGCCCGCTTGACCTGCACGAGGAATATGCAGTTTCGGGAAGCCTGAAAGGCCCATGATTCTCTGAACATCTCCGTAGGGGAGCTCTTCCTTAGCTGGCCAGGCCTCTCCGGGGCATGTCGCCGGCATCCCCAACCGAGCCTCCAGGGAAGAGACGAGCTCTACCTGGTGATTCGGACCTGGTAAGGGTGCATCTCATAACTACAGGAGATCCTGATACCCGAGCCCAACAGGCAGCGTGGAGCGGCGCAAGATTGGCAAACACGAGGCTGGACCGACGCCGCGAGCTATGTCCGTAGTCCGCGAGTCCCCTTATCGTTCAGCTTTTCCTGTGCCTTACACTGCTGCACCAGCTTAGGCACGGACCAAGAGATCCAAGATCAGAACTCACATGTTTGTACTACATGGGTAGTTGTCAAAATTATGGTCCCTTTTGGGGTACCCTAAATAATAGGTGCCGTATTCTAAGGACCCAAAAAGGGACCATAATTTTGAAAAACGTTAGTTTACACGCTGCGGCAAATCCGAAAGCATCTCCTTCACCTTGCGAAGGGTGACCAGGCTGATGGCTCGCGTGACAACCATCACGAAGGCATCCAGGGAGTACCTCAAAAACGTTCTAACAGGGCTTTCTTGCCAACCAAGGAGGTTTGCGCGGGCAGGGCACTTGTAGAATGAATGCATCTTGCATAACTCCATCATCAGAAAGAACCTTCAGGCCAGCAGATGGCACCACCGGGGTCCTCTAGAAAAGCTGGAATTCGGAATGCGGCTTACGTCTGGGGGTCTTGCAGCAACGACCCGCGGTTTGCCACGAGGCGGTAGTTCTCTGAGACCGTGTTGATCTTTGCCTTAACACTCAACACGCTTTAAGCTCGCGGTTCTGCTTCGCTGCACATGTCCGACAGCAGCAATGGCCTCTGTCGCCTGGGCGACCTTGACTTTCTCCTGCAATGCGGGGGTTTCTTGACAGGCATGCATCTACACGAACTATTTATCGAGTTTCCTGCTGAAGCTATGCATCCGGATTCGGTCATCTTTGACAGCAGCATAAGAGGGCTTAAGCAAGCCCTCGTCAATGACGTGTGGCTTCGACCTTTCCTGCCTCTTTCTCCTCTTGATTCCTTGAACCCTCACCGCCCCTCACCAGTTCGCCATGCTGGAGATGCAAGGGATGCATGTATGAGCCACAACCACATCGACGTGCTGCAACACATCCAGCTAGCTCTGCCAGCTTGGCTCCTTGACCTCATCTGATGTGAACTTTGCATCCTCGAGGCCGAACACCAACTCAGTGTCCTGCGTGAGTGCTACAGAGTGGGATGCACAGCGGTGCACTCAAGTGAGGAGCACAAGACTGGCCTGCCTGCCCTGCAAGACACAAGCACCAACCAGTTGCCCAGGATCTTTTTCGCTACTGCTCAGCCAGTGCCTCAGGCACAGGGGTCCGGGCTGCCTCAGCAAGTTCACAACCGTGTTGGGCGAAGAGCTCCTTAGCGAAGACCAAGCAACCCCGGCGAAACAAAAATCCAAAGCTCCACCGCCTAGTCTGCATCTGGCGTCCGCTTGGAGGTGAACTTCGGGAAAAACGGCCCGTCGTGATGCCAACTCCAGGCTGGGGCAGCCCGAGAGTCCTTACTATTTCATGCGTGCACGTGATAGATGTTTATGTATAGTGTATAGTGTACAATACATATCACTGAGTTCAATTCGAAAAACAACAAGAGACCGCCCGCACAGCAGAAGTAGTAGTTAGTAGCGTCGTCGTCGTCCTCCTCCTCCTCCTCCTCCTCCTCGTCGTTGGCAGCGGCAGTTGTACTGCTACCACTACCACCACCACCGCCATTGCTTCTGGTTCCGACTCATCTACTACTAAAACCACTGCTGCTGCTGCTGCTGCTACGACTACTACTGCTAGTACTACTGCCACCACCACTAGCAGTCCTACTGTCACAAGCATGATGGTACCCAACCGCAAGTACTTACATAGCTATGACTGTCGTCGTCGCCGTCATCATGGCTATCATCATCATCATCATCATCATTTTCCTGAGCAGATATAGCCGCAACACCTTTCTCACGGCTTTTGCTTTTTGAAGTCACTTCACAAGTTGGTAGAATTTCTGAGCAATCTAAGCTGTCTGCTGTTTACAGCTGGCTAAGGCTTGGAACAGTCTGGTGCAAATCAGCCGAGAGTCTGCGCGAGAGCCACCAGAACGGTTTCCTTGCACGCGGCAAGGCTTGGGGACGTTTGGGACTCAGCGTGATCGCTTTTATCTTCGTGTCTTCGTGTGCCGCAAGAAGCCGGTTACGACCATAATGATGTGATGGCTCGGGCTCGGGTCAGGCAAGCGGCTCGAGGTTGTAGCATGTCTTGGCACTGGTCCTGAAGCTCCGCGGAATCACGATGCATCATGTACCTCTCAACTTCCTCGTGAGGACGAGGCTGGTCTTGCAGGCAGGGCTCTCAAAGTGCTGGAGGCGCCTCTTCTGCTGGAAGGCAATCCGGGCTGACCGGGTTTGCTCTTTCCACTGGGCGCCAACATCCGTCTTGTTCCCCACCAGGACAACCGGAATGCTGCCACAGAACTTCCTGATGTCCCTCAGGCGGTTGGGCACACTGCGCCTCAGGAAGTACCAGTAGGGCAAGAAAGGGCTGAGGCCGAAACCGTCACATCAGCTCCACTCTGCTTGGGCTCAGGCCAGGATGCTCTCGAACCCATGTCATACATGAGAATGGCTGCCTCATCCATAAGAACATCATGCACAAAAAGAGCTGCCCAGGTCGGTTCCCATGACTTTGGGGCTGGAAGCCTGGCCCTGTCCGAAGCCGCGCTCCTCGGTGCTGGGATTCAGCTCCCACACGTTGAAAACGATCCTCGGTGGGAAGCTGGGATGCACCTAGGCTTACGGCTAGGGCAGCTGCCCCTAGCACATAAAAGGATGCGCATGCGCAGTAGGCCTTCTTAAGGCATTGCAGCTGAGTGGGTTGATTGAAGTGAGCTGCTCTCCACATGTCGTAGCAAAGCGCAGCGAGACCACCTTCGCAGGGATCACGCACCATATGCGGAATGGTCATTCCGTAACTGCTGAAACCTTCCGGAACAGGAGCCTTTGAAGTATGCATCTAGAAAATCTGGTCTGGCACTCTTCAATTCTGCCTCTGTGTCCCGCGCAGCTCCACTCCTGAACTTTGCAAGAGGCATGCGGCTGACTTCTGCGCCTTTAACCTTCACAGCAGCTGCCTGTCCCAGGACAGAGCACGTGTAATCCGATGGCACATCATCGCTCCTGGAAAACTCACCTGTTTGATGCCGGAGAAGAAAGGAGGTCTTTCCAACTGCCCTCTCACCAATCAGCAGGATTTTGAACCTAGGAAGCCGTGTCTGTCATGTCAGGGTCAGCGCAAACTTGCCACGCTTGTGGCTTACTTCTTGACTTTCGCTTCAGCTCACGCCTCTAAGCGGGGCGCTCGGCAACGTGCCGAAGTGACCGCTGGGCAGAGTCCACAAGCGTCGAGTCTTTCGTTCCTCAAGAAGCAGTTAGAAGCTCTACGCCTATGCTTGAGCCAAGTATCGCAATTGTGCAGTAAGTTCCGAACCGCCAGTGAACCTCTCGCCAATCTCGTCGATCACTGCCTCGACTGATTTGATTGAGTGTGGCCTTTGTAGGCAAAGCCTTGCCCAAGGGGCCTCCAAGTACTCTTCGTTGTCGAAACGGTCCCACTTCGCCTCGAGAGAATAACTGATGTCTCAGATCTCCCGGCATCTCCCCTAAACCTAACCCCTGAACCCTAAACTCTAAACCCTAAACTCCAAACCCTAAACTCTAAACCCTAAACTCTAAATCCTAAACTCTAAATCCTAAACCCTAAATCCTAAACCCCATAAACCCTAAACCTCGACTCGTCTCGGTGTGCCTGGAAAGCATCGAAGGCAGCTCGACCCTTCGGCTCCGGAGACTGGGAGTCGCCTTGGAATCAGAAGCGTCTTCTCTCACCTTATTTTGGGGTCCTTAGAATAAGGATCCTATTATTTAGGGTACTATATACCTTATTTTGGGGTCCTTATAATAAGGATCCTATTATTTAGGGTACTATATACCTTATTTTGGGGTCCTT